CGGTCGTGTGGTTTCCCGTGAGATCCAACTCAAAGTAAGATTTTTTAAATATATGGTGCTTTCTCTGTAAGGTTTGTCGCGTATTTGATCAAATATATACAATCTGTGGTCAAATCGTCGTTTTATTTTCTTGGCAGTTCGTGTCCAAAATTACTTCATGTTAACTGTCTACTCTAGCCCCAAACATGTTGTTAGCATAAAACTGTGCCAGTATAATGGTCCTACAATTTCGTTGTTTAGCAAAGTGATTTGTGTTAAGACTCGTAACATTACCAACTACCCCTTAAATGTTCTGAACCATAATAACAGGCGTAGTTTTCGCAGTTTGGAGCTGCTAGCTTCTAGCTAGCTGTTGCTAACGGTACGCAGCTAACATAAGTAGACCAAAGTCGCTACTGTCCTGCTCTGTCTTGTTGCCGGAGGTGCAAGTGGAAAATACAGTTGGCAACAGAAGCCACGTGACATTTATTAATCTTCTATTATTTTCTACTCTTGGGGACAGTTCATTTCCCCGCAGAAGTCCCTAGTTACATTAGCTCAGCGGAGCAACTCTCAAGGAGGAGACAGGTGCAGAGCATGGTGCGGAGGCAGAAAACATGTTTATTGCTATCTGAGATCGCTCTGATTTCCTCGCGGTCAGAAAGTAGCTTGTTTCAGCAGAAAACTAACGTTAAGTTAACAGCTACTGCATGTTGTTAATGTTATGACCCGTCCGCATCAGCATCACTGTATTATATCAAGGCCTGTCTGTTTTAGCCAATGTGCAGCTATATGGTTAGTTATGATAAGTTCAAATACATTCAGAAATCTGCAGCACATTTAAAAAACCCAAACAAAGTATAAGTGATACATTATAAACATGCATTTTTAAAAGAACATACTGAGGGTGACTGCTATAGCCTATTGCAGTCACAAAATTAGAGTGGAAATGTTAAAAATCTAATGTGACTTACATTCGCATTTCATATGAACAACATTTTGGCATGTTAATTTTGAAATAAACGATATTTTGCTGGACAAGTAGGTTTTGTTTCCGGGCAAGTAAAAAATACCTGCCACTTCAAGTACCTCAAAGCACTTAATGTCAAGTCCTGACAAGGTAATACATTCAGCTAAAGACAGGTACATGTTGTGGTATAGCATGTTTTTTGTGGAATCACGTGTAGTAACGCAAAATGCACAAAGCACTTTGTTTGTACTAATCTAATGCATTTTTTATATGTAAAAAGCAGCACCGCCTGTTTAAATGCTTATGATATTTGTCCAATGAAGAGTATTTTTAAGCATGTTTATTAATTTTATTTTATTTTATTTTAGATTTTTCCTTTCACTGCTGCCAATTGATGGATGAAAGCTACAGCAGGAGGTAAGTGTGATACAAAAAGAACTGTTAATAAATTAAGTGAATGTAATGTACTCGCTAGGGATGCAATAGTTTTTTGGGGGGGGGGCATTATACATTGGTTGGATCCTGCTCCAGACTTGTTTCTGCTTTTTGTAATGTAAAACATTTTATCTTAACTGCTTTAAAGTGACTCAATGGTGTAAACGTTTTTGGGTCTGGAGTTTTTTTTTACTGTAATGCTCATTGTTAAATAATATTTTGAATATGAATAAGGGCTGTCAAGCGATCTTAGATATTTTTATTCGCTTGATACACTTCAAACAAATTATCTTCGGTCTTCTTGCATCCCTTGTATTTACAATACATTACAATACTTGCATGTGATACTGTTTGGTATGGGCCACACTGATTTTGTTTCTGTAATTTAGAGCATAAATGAGTGTGCCCTGCAAGATTTGCGGTGAGTCCTTGGCAACAAGAGAGGAGATTTTCCATCATTTGTCATTATATACGTTTTTATATCTAAATGAACACAATCAGAAATATGAAAACATATTCAAGATAAGAAGTGCTGAATACTTCCTAATTCGTGGTGTTTTTTATTTCTATGTTGTTTCGTAGGATCCAACCGCTGCTATAGAAAAGAGGAGGGAAGTCGTAATCCGAGGCCTAATTGAATACATGGGGGAGAAGCCAGGAGACTTGATTTCAGATCTACAGGTAAAATTTCCAATCTTTTCTTTTTCAGGGTATAAAAAAAGTACCGTATAGGGATGTAAAAAACTATGAATTTTCATGACCGACCACCGAGCCTCATTAACCGGTTGAAACCGGTTAACCGCGTAGTTTAAAATAGTCCACGTTCTTTGAAATAACAGCCATTTCGAGCTGCGTACTTTTCATAAGAGCAGCTCTGCGTTCTACTGGATCAGAGTTGAGACAGCGGCGCCCAAACCCGCAACAGCTCCGGCACCTTTGCGCACAGAGAACTGCTTTTTTAATCTTCCCATTCTGCTGTGCTGCGGGTTAATACCAAAACTTTCTAGCAGCAAACGACGGCTCGTTCACATGGTCAGAGCAGCGAGTGACGAGCCGCGTCTCACAGGTCTTCACAAAAGTTTAAATACAAGTGATGTGTGTGGAGCTGATCCCGAGGACCATAAACACAAACATGGTCCATGTGGTTTGACTGGAGCCGCGTATCTGCGCGAATTTTGGGCTCCGTGACACAGAGGAGCGCGACAGACCGGTATGTGTGTGTGTGTGTATGTGTGTGTATGTATGTGTGTGTATATGTGTGTGTATGTAAATGTAAGCTCCAATGTAGTTCTGACCCGCGCCAGTGTGCAACTTTGACGGTAACAGAGGGGAGAGATGATGCGTGTGGATGTTACGTATGGAGAGGGGGAAAGTGTGTGTGTGTGTGTGTGTGCGCGCGTGCGTGTGTGTGTGCATATGTGGCTCGTGCGGCGTGAGAGTCGTCCCGGAGTTTATAATACATGGGCGCACACAGCTAGATACAGACCCGCTCGTCACACCGTGCAAATAGGGCTTAAAATAGCGTTATTAAGAGACCTCCCCTCTCCCCTTTTTCTCTTTTTTAACCGACAGCTTTGACCGGTTAACGCTGTGACGGTCAACCACCGGTTAACCGGTCGCCGATTTACATCCCTAGTACCGTACCTTATGCTGATATGTCTATCATTAAGAGTAGTAGTATCACCAAATCCTCTTCATCCTCTGCATATGCTAAAAGTCAGCATATGCAGATTATTTAAAAAACATTTTGGTCTCATTTGACCATAGAATAATCTACAATCATGTAGAAAAGGTTAAATCATCTACTGGACTGGGTTTTGGTAAAGTTGAGGATGTTTCGCTTTTAGTGACACAAGCTTCTTCAGAGCTCTTAAAGTCATAAAAGAACACTTTTACCCAAACTGGACTAAAAACTAAAAAGACCCAGGTTCCTTCCAGAAGGAGAGAACCAAAACTGCCAAAAATGTCTATTCAAATTGTTTTCAATATCACTCAACTTTACCAAAACCCAGTCCTGGCGATGATTTAACCTTTTTATAAGATGGACACTCCCTGGATGAATGAGAGCCTTCACAAACATCTGACCATATGACATTCCCCCAGCCCTCTGGATGGAATGGTCACTGGAAAACTTCAGTTGGACATGAATGAACATGAGCTGGCTAAACCAGCTGGACCTGTATGGTATGAATTAAAGGTGCACCGATCTGATCTGTCACCAATCATGATTGGTCGATCACGGCCTAATTTTTGTGATCGGTGATTGGTGAAATGCGCCGATCAGAGGGGCCGATCAAACGTAGATTTCAGACTTTCTTACAGTAGATAATCTGGTGAAAACTCCACAGTATAGCGCCGCTCTAAACCGAGTTTTAAATGTAATTCGTGGCTACAAAACCGCTCTGGATGAAATGCTCGGCTGTATCCCTCTGCGCATGTCGGCTCTCCTCTTTCCAGACTGCAGTGTAACTAAACAAAACAATGATGAAGCTTGAGCTAACCCGCTATCGCTATGCTTTAAGACAAAAACATGAGTTTGTGACAATAAAATATCAGCGTCTGGTACTTCTAATAGTAGGTAAAGGAGATGATTTGCCATGTACCATTATTTACATTTGCAACTACCGCATGACTTCACATGCGCGCTCCGTAAGTGATACCACAGGATATTTAACACAAAACTGTGCTATCTGAAACGCACGTGAAACTACAATCAGAGGCAGGGGTCATTGTCCTGTCTTATTTTGCTCTTTAGTACTCACTAAATGGCAGCTCGTCAAAAGGGAAAGTATGTGCGTATGTGTTTGGCACCTCATGTCGCCGTCTCCTTGTGGAAGTTCTTTTCTTTCTTCAAATATTGTCTAATGTTACTGTCAAACTAATTTAGGCAGAAATGTGAGAAATTCCACACAGTGTGCTCACTTTTTCTAAACATTAATTGAACAAACAATATATATTTGTACCGTCAAATAATTCTTGCAACATTATAACATACATAATGGCTGAATTTATGTGTTGTATCAAATATATTTAAGCTGTTACTGATGCATTTAGACACAAATTATGTAATTTAGTGACAAATCTCAAAATTAAACAGATATAATCGACTTGAAAATGTCTGCACAGCTCATCAGCCGTCAGTTTCTCTGAATAGGTTGCGTTCACGTTTTAGAATGTGATGATGGGCAGTTGTCAATACAACTCTATGGGAGAAATACAGTTTTTGTACAAACTCTCAAACAAAAATTGACAAATGTTTTTCCTCTTCAGTATTTGACAGTGATTAGATTTACTAACCCACTTTATTATTTGTATGGCTGAAAGTCCTTTCTACTGACCAACATCACGCTCATAATTTCAAAAATTGTCATTGGTTTATATTATAAACCAATGACAATTTTTGAAATCATTATGTGCTGAAAGAGGAGTCAATGAACTTTGAGACAGTTTTTTTCATGTGGATTCTCCTAGTAATGATCTCAGTCAATACTAGGAGTACTACTACTCATTAACCAAAAACTAAGACAAAAAATATGCAGTTTGCCAGTTACCATAGTTAACGCCATGGAATTTTCACTTGCCCTCCACCTCAGTTTTAAATGAACACGTGAACACAACCTATTGCATTGACTATCAAAACATATCAATGTCTAATGTATTTTTCCCTCTCAAATAGAGTCTGGAGGAAACTGAAGACACTCGGCAGAATATCGCCTATCCAGTGAAGATTGTCAAAGTTGGTGACACGTACGAGATCAGCATTGATGGCCTTCAATGCATTACAGGTTTGGGCACTGTAGCCAAGGCCTCCTGTATTCTTGTTGGCGTTATATACGCATTGGACTTGAAATACCCACCCAAGCTTCAGCACACATTTGAAACTTTTCAGAGATTACTGATTGGTCTCAGTCCTGTGAAACCAAGAGCATCTGTGAGATACAGTTCACTCCTTAAAAAGCTGTCTTAAAGTTTGAATTAAGGAATCCTCACTTTTGACCCTGTTCTAACATTGTTCAAATATAAAAAGTGTTTGAAAATTCAAAATGGTGAGTTATAGAGGCTTAGAAGCACAATGTATCAGTTTTGTGAACTGCAACTGCATGTTTGTGTGTTGCAGCAGACACCTTTGTAATTCCCTCTGCAGTAGATGTAGCCATTTTTTTTTTTTTGTCCTAGGGATGTGGATTGTTCATTTGGGAATTATCTGTTCACTCACTATGATTTAGTAATTTTACACATTGTGTAGGACAGGGGTTCTGAAACTTTTAAAGGCAGGAAAACAAAATCAAAATTTGGATGAAAATATTCATTTCACATTGCCCTTTTTATTGGTAGTTGTTTCCTTTTTAAAATATTGTATATCACAAGGAATTGTTTTATATATATATATATATATATATATATATATATATATATATATATATATATGTATTTGATCAGACTCCCTCTAAATACAACTTCAGAATTTGAATGAGACGTAAACGACTAGAACATGATTAAAACCAAAGTCCTTCAACAAAGTTTTTAGAAATCTTTAAAAAAAATGTCTACTCATCTTTTTACTTTTTTTTGTTGTTAAAACTGGAGTGGTAAGGAAAAATGGTACAGAGTTCTGTTGGAAGATAAATATTAATGTTTCAAAATGTAATATTGAATATATAGTTACATTTAAGTGTACATATTGAAAAATAAATGTTGACGTGGAAAAGCTTTAAAAGGTTTTATTTTTTCAGAACACAAGCATATTGGTATAAATGTTTATTTTAAAGTCATGTAATTTTTTATCAGAGCTGACATTCTTGAAAATGTTTTATGAGTTTTCTGAGTTTTTTTGAAGTACCGAGTTTAAGTATTGAGTTATGATGTTATGTTGCTGTTTATCGAACCTGATGGTCACACGTGAATGTGTGACCAGAGGGGGGGAATGTGAGATTTCATAACACTTTTAAGCAACTTTTGTTAAAGTTAAACTCATCATTCTATCAATGTGCAGAAGCCTGTACTTTTCCACTTCATGTTTTGTCTATCTGAAGGCCAAGCTACAAGTACAACGTGGAAGCTGCTGATTGGAGGTCTCCATGCCTCCGCTCTGTATAATACACTTGCATTCTGTTGTATCTGTTGTTCGTGCTGTCTCTACCATCGACAATAAAACATGTCTTCTGTCTGAATTTAAGACGCGATCCCAGACTTGGCACATCTTCTTCAGGTGGTGGAAGGATGCGGGCCTTGTCTGTAACATCTAGAGAACAGAAGACATTTGCATGTCAAATGAGGTGATGACCGAAACAACAGGGGGCTAGGGTGGGCTTTGTTTATTCGTCTGGGGGAGGAAGGCCCAGTCCCAATACCCACACTGCACCCTACGCCCTCCTATGAAGTGTGCATTTGTTTGAAGTGCGCGCAAGGGTTTGAGTGCGCAGGTTACAAGTGTGCACAAAAGGCGGAATTGGGACAGTGCACACTGAGTGCAGGTTACGTCATCGACTCGTCAAGAGATGGTCATTTTCAGACCTAAACTTTATACAAATTAAAGGTAATTTTGTCTGATCCTTTGGGAAACTAAATGAATTGCTTCACACACGTTAAAATACATGTATATTAGTGGTTTCTAATTAGAGATAGCTGTATAATTTTAAGTTAAATGTGGGTAACTAACTGTTATCTGGTCAGTTTTTATACATTCTAAGATTATTGTACTAAGTGTAAAGTTTAAATTGAATGTTATATAAACGCTTGGTTTAAAAAGTTATTAAATTGTTAAAACACAATGTCCGTAATTCTTCATCAGACATTTATGCTTCTTTCCAAGTAACATTGCAAAACTTATTTACACACATACTGCATATATATTTCAAAATGTATATTTAAATGCATTTTCCCGACGTTTTGGTGTGTACCGCAAAGAATTATGGGCAATATCCTTCGCCAGAGTGCGCATAGATGCAGGCTACGGCGAAGTGTGGATCAGGGGCGCAAAGGGGGCGGGGCCAAAGACCTCCCTGGAGAATTGGGACACCCTACGCACTCGCACCCTTTATCGGGAACGCGCAAATGAGGGGCGCGAGGGTGGAAGTGCGAGTATTGGGACGGGGCCGAAGGGCTGCGAATGAGTGACTTCCAGACTGTGAACCCTGAGAATTAATATACTGTATATATTTTGTAATAACATTTTTAACACAGTATGTTTCATTCTGACTGAAGCACATGATAATGTTATAAAACAGTATGTTTCATTCTGACTGAAGCACATGATAATGTTATAAAACAGTATGTTTCATTCTGACTGAAGCTCATGATAATGTTATGTGATGTGAGAAATGCACTAAAGCCACTGGAGAAAAACTGTAACTATTCAGATCCTCCCCCTCCCCCTAAGATGGCAAAGTGAAGCTCAGCCTGCGATAACGGCCCTATTTACATAACAAAGTTGGCCGTTCACAGGTGATTTCGTTTGTTAGCTAAAATCCTTGGGGTCATTTGACACCGTGGAGGGGATGATAGGTATAAGTAGTGATGTGCTGAGCGGACCGAGTCTTCGAAGCGTGGACCGAGTAATCTGGGGGCGTTTCTTGTGAAGTGTGGGTCGAGGCGTGTATTGGTCACGTGTGTGGTGACGTTCGAAGCCTCGCGTAGCGGCCGCACCACGTGACGGTTCATAAAGTGCTTCATATAGTTCGGAGAGTGCATTGCTTTGACAGGTGCTTTGTGATCCGCGGCTGTACCATAGACTGTATGGCTGTCCCCGTCTGCCTCTGTGTGCGTACGTGTGTGTGCGTACGTGTGTGTGCGTGATGTGGAGCAGTCCTGTACTACTTCATATGAAATACAATTAAAAACGTTTCACTTTAGTAAAACCTCATATATCAAGGCTTCAAGTTATTAGTAATAATACGCTGGATAATACATTTCACAACAGCTGTGTGGCGCAGTCGGTATATGACGGACTCCGAAGCAGAAGATATAGCGTTCGAATCCCGGTCTACCCATAATAAATTTTGTGTTGCAAAGTAAATGTATTTATTTATTGGGAATAAATGGTTTGTTGTGTTTAATTAATCCACCTCTTGGTAGTTTTTCCTCCATTAATCACTTTCTGTAGAACTGTATTACTTTGGATGTGTTTGTTGTATCAACACAATTGACTGAAAGACTCAAATAGTTCATAGTTCATGAAGCATCATTTCAAACACAACACGTTAGACCATAGATTGTAAATATACATTTTAACATTAGATCTCACCATTCATTGTAAGCACTTAAGAGTGTTATGTATTTCTTTGTCCACATGATGGCGTAGTGGAGCATGATTCACCTTGAGCCTTCGACTCATGGGCCGAGTAATAGGCTGCTATCCCTCAAGGCTTCATGGGGCTTCATATTGCCATCACTAGGTATAAGTGCCAAATGACACCTCCATGCGAGTGCTAGTGTTAAAGCTGCTTTCAATATCTTTTCAAATCTGTTTTCCTTTTCTCCATAGCATGTCTGTAACAAAAGTTCTCATAATCTGAAGTCGGCGTATTTACATGGTTTTATGAAACAGAATTCTGAGAAAAACAGGTTTAAAGATCGACATTCCAAACATAATCATCACAGTCACATATAACATGTAAATTTTGAATTACTCTGTTATGGCACACTTGTTTTAGTCACTATGTTGTAGAAGATTAAAAAGATGTTACTTTGGCACCAATTAAACACACAACACTCATGAATTAGTCGAAAATCAAGAATGTATTGATTCTTTCAATATTCAATGGATTGAATTTTGACCTCCTCTTCTTTTTCTTTCTCTTTATAATTTACTGAAAATTAGATATGTATTAGACATTGCCAGTATTATTCTATCAAATCACGCAGTCTAAATATCCACAACCACCAAGCATTTTTAATGCAAGGAGAAACTTAGGTAACTTTAAACACAAATAAAACAAATGGACCTGTCCGACTCGAGTGTCTATGCTTCGTGTGTCTCTGGTTCTGTCCAGGTGTCTATGATCCGCGTGTCTCGCGTGTCTCCGCCTGTCTGGGTTCTGTCTGCGTATGTGTAAATGTAAATGTAAATGTCTGTCTGTGGTTCTGTTCGCGTGTCTATGGTCCGCGCTCGTGAGCAGAGAGAGACGTGAGCAGAGAGAGAGAGCAGAGAGAGAGAGACGCGAGCAGAGAGAGAGAGCAGAGAGAGACGTGAGCAGAGAGAGAGACGCGAGCAGAGAGAGACGCGAGCAGAGAGAGACGTGAGCAGAGAGAGAGAGACGCGAGCAGAGAGAGACGTGAGCAGAGACGAGAGAGACGTGAGCAGAGAGAGAGAGAGAGAGACGTGAGCAGAGAGAGACGTGAGCAGAGAGAGAGAGACGCGAGCAGAGAGAGAGAGCAGAGAGAGACGTGAGCAGAGAGTTACCATTCGGCCAACATACGATCTCTGGGCTAGAAGGTTTGCACGCCAGTCTGTACCGAGGTCTAAGTCGCCTTGGCTGAAGCTAAAGCAGGACTTAAAGCCTGCACATTGTGGCAATAAGATGTAATTTTTTTCAGCAGCTGCGTGATTCCGAAAAGCGTGAATGAAGACAAACAAAACTAAAAGGGCGTCCTACTGTATCAAACGGTAAAGGGACCATTTCACAAACATTTACTTCAAAAGTAGATAACGTTCATTACTGTTTATGCACAGTTTTTTTATATACTTGTCAAATTCACTTGTTACAAACATTGGTGAATGTTGATCAATGCAAAAGTTATGAAGTGTAGCCTAGACTAATGTAGCTTAGCTTATGAGATAGATTAATGAGATAGATTAAGGAGATAGTGTTAGACAACAGAGATTCAAAAAACATTTTAAAAGCATTTTGATGTATTTGGGTATAGCACAAAGTAGATATTTTAGATTTTTTTCGAGAATTTTAAAAAGCTGTCGCTGTTGTCAGCACAGATAGAGAATGTAGAATAGACATGGAGCAAAATCCAACTGGCACAAGGCCATGATAATGAAAGCAAACCACAGTATAGAGAGATTTTAGTTTAAAACATATGTTTAAGAATATGGTCGATAAAAGAACTATGCAACACATATTTGTAAATAGATTTAGAATAGTTTTAAACTTTAGTGATATAGTTTTAGTCATAACATTACAGACGAGGTTGATGAATGATTCAGAATGAACAGCAGTGGTCATCAAATAGTATTGAAGGAATATGTTTATATTATATTTTTGTTGGGAAACTTGTTTATGAAAGAACAGGCAGCTGTTTGGTAATAAATTCAGGCGTACACATCTAATGCAGCATCTTATAGAAAAAATTGACGACATGGGTTTAAGAAAACCATCATTATTAAATAATTACAAATAATTATTACCTGATGTGTCAGCAGTTAATGTGATTTGTAAAGGAATGTTTCAAATTGTGGTTGTTAGTTGTGTTTTCTCTGAATTAACGTCTTAACAGGTTTCCTTGCCTGAAATATAAGAAGCATGGATGATGTCACTTCATGATGTCACGGATGGATGAGAACGGCATGGGATTTTTTTGATAGGGTCAGAGAGGGATTTGTTGTAGAATTAAAAATGTTGTATACTAATGCTTTCCAGTAGGTGTTTGGATAACATGTTCTTTTGGGCAATATTAAGCTGGATTTGTGGATTTCAGACAAGCCACCAAGGACAAGCTTCTGTGATAAAAAGTATCATTTTCAGGATCCGCGTGTGGGTGGCCTCTCTTAATCGGGACAAGGCTGAGACACAAAACTAGACGCCAGTCGGAGGCAGGGACACGCACGGCACCGCCAGAAACCGTCTGCGCGCGGCAGCAGACCACGAGGAACGAGCAGCACAGGACCCGCGGAGGGGCCCCGCGGAGCAGCCCGCAGAAGAGCCCGCAGAGAGAGCAGTGGAGACGCACGAACCACAGCAGGTGCAGGGACGCGGAGCAGGAGCAGACCACGAGCAGCCAGACTGAGGACAGCCGGGCCACGCGCACGAGCAACACGTGAGCAGAAGCGACCCCTCCAGAACAACGCATGCATTTGCGAACAGGTGCGTTAGCGACATGCACCTTGCAGGCTTCAGAAGTTTGCAAACTTCAGAAGGCCGGGAAAGTGGGCGTCTCCGGCTTTTAACTTGCTGTCCTGGTGGTTATTGGTGGATTAGATGTGGGCGTTTTGCTGGTGTAATGAGTAGAGGATGAGCAGGCTTGTAGATCTGGCAGCAGTGGCCGGGTCTACCACAGTGAACTTTCGCGAAGAGCTTCATGAGCGGCAGAGACCAAAGTCCATAAATGTAGAGTGTCCTGGATCATCACAGCTGTTATAGACCCTCGTGCATCGGCAAATAACTGAGGGAAATGAAAATGTACTTGTACCGAGGTTGATCAAGATCTATGAAAAATGCATTATTAGATCTCGAAAATGTACTTGTCCCTGGGTCTCTCCATTTTTGCCCATGTTTATAGAGCCAGAGAGCCTTCTTTGTTCTAGCTTTGTTATATCTGTGGCCACATGCATTACCAGGTCTGAAAGGTGAGACCTTGATCCATCAGGAGGTGAAAAACTTTATTTTTTTCCTATTTCCTGAGAAAATCCAAGCTAAACTTGGCAAGTTTTCATCAAAATCCTTCTGATTTATCTCTGGCTTTTGTGTGAAACATGGGGTTTCTGAGCTTTCTGAAAAATACTTTACTCGACCATTGGACTTGAGTAAGAACAGTATATTTTACAGTCTTCCCTACAGATAACTTGAGATATGTTACCTAAACTTATGACGTGATGTTCTCTCAGGCCTCCTCTGGATCATTCAGATGGATAAGTGACCACTTGAGCCTGGCCTGGACCTGAGCTGGTTTAAGCTGGGGATTTTTTAAGCAAAGAATCTTAAAGGGGACATAACAAGTATGTAAGTAAGTGAGTAGGTAAGCAAGTAAAAGTAAGTATGTAACTAAGTGAGTGAGTGAGTAAGTAAAAGAGTAAAAGTAAGTAAGTAGGTAAGTAAAAAAGTAAGTGAGTAAGTAAAAAAGTAGGTGAGTAAGTAAAAGTAAGTAAGTAAGAGTAAGTAATTAACTATGAGTAAGTAATTAAGTATGAGTAAGTAAGTACTTTATATATATAGCCAATGTTAAGAGTTCAGATATTGTTGTTTTTTCTCCCCACGGTGACGACAGAAGTGAGACGCTGAACACTCTGGACCATCACAGCCCCCAGAGTCAACATCACTCTCTCATGACATTCACTCCTATTGTACATGGTTTAGCGGTTGGGGAAACCAGAGCACCTGGAGGAAACTTACGCAGACACAGGGAGAACATACAGACTTCGCTCAGAAAGGCCCTGCTCCGACCGGGATTCGAACCCAGGACCTATTATCTTTGAGTGTCCTGAAAACCAGTGCATTAATTTACTTTTCTTTTGGCCGGACTAGTCTTTCTTCCGCTTATTATTTACACATCTCACTGTTTTGAGTTAAATATATCCTCATCTCTATTCTCAGCACGATTGGTCTCAGCTTGAAGCCTCTGACGACCAGAGAGGGAACATCAGGAGTGGACGGAGCTGTTTACAGAATGTGGAAGTGGCCAATTTAAATTTAAGGTGGAGCTCATTTCCTTATATGGGCGTTTGTTCCGATGGCGTTAGGTGGGAAGCTGGAGTGTCCTTCTGATTGGCCGACCCTTATATGGCTCATATCTGGATTTACAAAGACTATGAAAACACCAGGATCACGTTAGTTACTTATTAATGTAAGTCAACAGAAGCCAGAGCGAGGTGGAACAAAACTTCGCCCATGAGCACTTCATCGAGCTAGGGGTCTATGCTGCTGACACCAAGAACCGCAGACAGATTTAGACTATTTTATTCTGACTTCTTCTACCACCCCTCTCCCTCCCTCCTTCCTCCCATCTCCTCTCCTCTCTGCATCCTCCCATCTCCTGCCTTATACCTTCCTCCTCTCCCCTCTCGTGTACATTTTCCCACCACTCCATCTTCCTCTCTGCTCTCCCCACTTCTTCCCCTCTCCCACCCCCCTCTTCTCTGCTCTCTCCTTCCTTCTCTCTGCTCTCCCCTCCCCTCTTGGTCTCCTCCTCTGCTCTCTTCTCCCCTCTCCCATCCTCTCCTCCCTCCTCTCTCCTCCCCTCTAGTCTCTCCTTCCTCCTTGCTCCCCTCTCCTATCCCCCCTACTTCCTCCTCTCCCTCCCCCTCTACTCTCTCTCCTCCCCTCTCCTCTCCCCTCTCCTCTCCTCTCCTCCCTCTCCTCCTCTCCCCTCCCCTCCCCTCTCCTCCCCTCTCCCTCTCCCTCTCCTCTCTGCTCTCTTCTCCCCTCTCTCCTCCCTCCTCTCTCCCCTCGCCTCCCCTCTACTCTCTCCTCTCCTCTCCTCTCCCCTCCCCTCTCCTCTCCTCTTCCCTCTCCTCTCCCTCTCCTCCTCTCCCCTCCCCTCCCCTTTCCTCCCCCCTCCCCTTCCCTCCCCTCTCCTCTCCCCTCCCCTTCCCTCTCCTCCCCTCTCCCTCTCTTCTCTCTCCCCTCCCTCCCCTCTCCTCCATGTGAACTCCATCAAACCAGCGTCTCAGTCTTATCTGTAAGAGAAATTCGTCATTCCCGGTAATAAACTACGAACGGCCCGAACACATAAGCCAGACGCTCTTCCCTTTCAGATCATTACGTTTCCATGGTGACGGGTGGCTGGGGGATTTCCCATCAGGCAGTGGGGCTCTTGATTTGCCGCCTGTTTGTGTTTATGAGCCTGTTTGGCGGTGGTGGCTGTAGCCCGGTGTTATGGTCCGCACAGAGGGAGCAGGAGGGATGCTATGGAGGTCTCTAACTTATATATTGTGTGTGTAACGTGTGTGACTGAACCTGCTTTGATGGTTGTAAAAGTAGAAAGTGTGTAAGAAAACCCCAGACTTATCCAGAGAACTTTTTAAGCATGTGTTGTTCGGAACTGAATCCTGCAAATGTACAAGAGTTTAATTTAAGTACAAACAAAACCAAAACATAAAAAAATTAAATTGGCCACGGTGCGAGAAGGAAAGAGGACCGGCTGTTTTCACACTAACCCACGCTGTCATGTGGCAAAAGGAAATGAACCCAAAATGAACTGCACAAATGATGGATTTGATTAAAGTAAAACAAAAAGAAATCCAGAGAAAACAGCACAAAATGTAACCAAACAGGGACTGACGACAACAACTAAAAATCAGTGCATGTGGGGGCGGGTCCCGGCTCAAAAGTGGCCAAAATGACGTGCGCTGACATGCTGCAATACCACCCCGGGCCGATGGGGGTGGACCTGGAATAAGAATTAGCCAAGGCTAACATATAGCATTTTCTTACCTCTCGAAAACGTCTTTACAGGATGTTCCAAAAGTTGGCTCTTGGCCCAAAGCTCCGTTCCACATGTGTGTCAATGCTGAGGGGAATGAATTTCTTTGGACCAGTCTAGTTTAGTCGCTGTGAATTTTTGAAGTCAAATGAATGGGGCTCGTGCAGCTGACGCATGCGCAGATACGTTTTTTCACATCTTCCAGCCCCCGCCGCCATTTTGAAACTGTCCATAGACCACGGAAGTTGTGGCTCATTAGTTCAAACGGTGGAGATAGGCGTGACTACGTTCGTTAATATTTACAGTCTATGGTTTAAATACAAGACTAACAAGACACAGGTGAAACCAGTGTGAGCGGGTCGAGACTCAAAAAGGTCTGTGAGCATGTGCGCTAACATGCCTGTAATCTGACTCCTTGCCGGTGGGGGTGTACCCGGAAACAGAATTATCCAGTGTATTCTTATGGCGCTTTACCCCACTCTTTACAGGATGGTCCAAAAGTCGCTCTTGGTCCAACGCTACAGTCCAAATGCTGTCGATGCCATTTTGAAAAGATGGCAGGAGGGATCAGTGATGTAGTGTTTATATTTACAGTCTGTGGGTGAAACACGTGAGGGCGGGGCAGGTACACAACAGGAAGTACAACCAATGAAGACACAGGAAATAAACCCAACCGTGACACACACATAGATCATGACTGTACATTTTGTTTGCTACTCGTTGTAGATCTGCAAAAATAAATGGGATGGGGTCAATCAGAGCTGCCACCCAGACCTTGGTCTTTCAACGGGGGCTTCAGGCATAGTGGGGTTAAGTGTCTTGCTCAGGGACACAACAACAGCAGTGGGGGGATCAAACCCAAACCCTAACGTACCTGGTTGGGACCAAAGAAACAACACAATGGACATTAGAATACTCTTTTCTGTCCATTTGCCTATTGAGAAAAATCCAAAATAGGGCGACAGTGGCTCAGTTGGTAGACGGGTAGTCTTTGGACCTAATGGTTGTGGGTTCGATCCCCCCCACGATCCGTCATCCGCTACCACTGATGTCTGCTGGCGTTATGTCCCTGGGCAAGACGCTTAACACTAGGAGCGCCCCTAGCGGTCAACTGACCGTCACTCACTTTAATATGCTAATTAGTGTATTCAAAACAAAACGCCAGAAGTTGAAATTTTATGACTTTTTCTAGGTACTTGTTGTTTATATTTTGGTGTGTTTTGGTTTTGGAAAAAGTAAATAAAACAAGATTTACACGCATTTTAACTTTTCTAAACCACAGCCCTTTCTGCTGCCCCATAGGGATACATGGCGCAGGGGCGACTGTTGTCATAGTAACCTTTCCCGGGGTTTTTTCGCGCCTTATAAAAATGTATCAATATGTTGTCATTAGACTCTAAAGGGACTTTTTTATTATTATTTGGGAGAGAGGGAGGAGTACAAAATGAATAGAGCTGCAAGTACACGGTAGAAGCCCTGACAGTGCTTCAAGACATTGAATGAGAACAGTCTGACGGAGGTGAGAGATGTCACATTTTGAGGTAGAAAGTGACAGCGGGGAGAACACCTATAATATTCTAAATCTGAACGTAAACCCATAGTGCATTCACGGCACGGACAGCAGTGTTGTAACAAGTCCAGAAGCAATAACGCACATGACCCGCGTAATGCCAGCCATACGCAAGTGTCTGTGTGCGCGCTGTCGCTCCATTCTGCCTTTTCATTCATCATCAATTACATTATTATATTTATACATACAAGAAGGCAATACAGCAGAATACAATATCGCAATAAAATAGAACAATTAGATGAACTATCAAGGCAGAGTGCAGAGAGAGCGCTGTGATCCTCTCGTCACCCGCGGACACCTGCAGGAGGAGAGCGACTGTGGCAGAAGCGGCCCTCATTATCAATAAGGATATCATTCTTATTTCATTCAGATAACACTGTGTGTTATTCTGCACAGCGCGCACTGCAAGGCAATGATTATAATGTTGTTCTGAGCATAAAGAGCACTGCTTGTCTCAAATAAATACAAATATATATACATATATTTGTACAAATATATATACATATATTTGTATTTCTAACGTGTCCCGTGTAAAATTGAAGATTGTACATTGGCGATGGTAGCCTAGCTGATGATCTTGTGTCAATACGAATATTATTATTATCTAGATAATATTTCCCACGGTGATTTCGGCCTCTAAAAAGAAAACAGTCTGGAGATGACGGTAAGAAGTAGACGCATATAGCAGCGCGAAGACGTTATGGTCCCGTGCTTTTCTAAACTATAATTTATATTGTTTGAATTTACATATTGTTACTGAGTCAAATATAACATATAGTGACCGACCTTTTAGGTGTTTGCAAAGTTACAAAATAAATCTAGCCTGAAAAGTCATCAATTTTGATGGATCAGTTTACGCACAATGTGTCGTCTTAGTCTTTTATTTCGGCTAGAATTACAATTACTTAGCATATTTAGACAAATAATTTACACAGTTTCATTATGATCACGATTCCTTTGCAACATCAAGTTCTGGTTTAGTGAACAATCAATTTGGCAAAAGTCTGTATCAGCGCAAAATACATAGCGGTCAACTGACCGCAGGGGGCGGTGCAAGGTATGTTTAGAGCACGGCGGTCCTAGTGTTAACCCCGCTTTGCCTGAAACGTCCGCTGAAAGACCAAGGCCATGACTGAAGGGGTAGAGCATGATATGATGAATCTAGAAGTCTTGACATGACAATTTAGAAGAAATCACCTTTGACCCGGGACATCTTGGAAAACGCACTCCGCTCTCCATGGCTCCGAGGTAACCCAGGTACACTCATATAAGCACACCTCTGAACTCTGGAGGCATTGGAGAAACTGTCTTGATAGAATTCTGGAACATCTAATGTATGTGTGTGGTTTGTCTCTTTTCTTGTTGTGTTTGTTTTATATGGACACTTTGTGCGTCTGAATTAAAGATTTAAATAAAAATACCAGGGAGTCGAATCAAGTCTGGTCTGGGATGTCCACGTGAACTCTGTCTGCAGCAGGGTTCAACAAAGTCTCTTATTTATAGGAGCGACAAGATGATGTCATCAGAGCGAGACGCATACTGCTGAGAACTTCTGCTCGGATCATCCAACAAAATAGTATGCTTTCTTAAGTAAATCTTCGTGTTTTGTACCTCTTCTGTGCATGCCATAGGGCATAAACCTACATCTGACCGCTGTCTCTCAACCTTGAAGCGTAAATCCCTGAGGATCGTGATTATTTTGCCGTGGTGCGGTAAACTCCCGTGGCGCGTCACAAACAAACACTATGAAACAAGACAAGATTAAAGCAAGTGCCTCCGCGGATGGACCTCAACAGTTGGAGCATGGCGATTCCATCAAAGACACAGTAAGCAAACAAATGGATGCATTATTCCAAGACTGTGACTTCATTCGCAAAATCAGTCAACTCCTGGTGGATTCTTTGATTGAGCCCCTAAAGCGGGCCATCACTGACTCCATCGCGGACTCAGTCAGAGACTCATTGAAGTTTGAATGGCAAAATACTGTTGATAAACTAACTGATCTACAAAACAAGTATAACGACATTGAGGACACTTTGGATGAGCAAGAGCAGTACTCCAGGCGAAACTGCCTTGTAGTCTACGGTGTTCCGGAAAATTACCGTGAAAACACTGATGAAGTTGCAATAGGGATTGTTAAACGCAATCTCAACATCGACGTGAGACCCGGGGACATCGACAGGAGCCATCGCCTTGGACCTAAAGCCAACAGGAATAAACCAAGGGGAATTATTGTGAAGTTTTCCCACTATAACATCAGAGACTTGGTTTATAAGGCAAAAAAACGGCTCAAAGGATCATCACCAAAAATGCACATTCTCGAGAGTCTAACTGCAAAGCGAGCAAAAACTGGATGAACTGCGTAAAAAATATAAGGACAAACTGACAGCTAGCTGGACTCAGAACGGGCGGCTGTACCTGCTCACCAGTGGAAATCAGCGACATGTCTTAAATAAACTGTCCGATGCCAAAAAGCTACGGATCTAACCAGTAGGACTAAATGATGCGTTCATACAGGACTATGTGAGTAATCTGTTTATGTTGTTGGTATGATTTAAGCATATCTTCTACGCAGTACTTTCATCACTGCGGGTGACAATTGCTTTCTCCTTGGTGACTTTAATATCAATTTAGCTCAAGAAAGCTGTGTCAAATCTACTTTCTTAAATTGTCTTTATTCCAACTCATTCTTTCCCACAATTAATGGTTATACTAGAGAAACGGAATCCAGTAAATCCATCATAGACAACATCATCACAAATGTCCATAATGCGAGCTCTTATTCTGGAGTTGTTCTGTCTGATATTACAGACCACTTTCCCATTGTGCTTTTCACAGATCTGGAAACAAAATCAAACAAAACAGTCCTTAAGGAAAAAATTAAAGTATTAACTGAAACAAATTTGTGTGCACTTTATAATGACCTTAA